ATTTGCATTAAACACATTCTGTAAAAAATAAACAGATATAAAAACAAAAAATTATGACAAACAGCGACGTGACAAGAATTCACTTTGTTCTTCGTCTCGTTTAAAACAAACAGATATGTTTTATGCTGAAGCAGATTCTGTAAAAAAAAAAAAGTCATTTTTCAGGCGGAACAGGTGGAGCTGGAAGAAAGACGAGATGAGATTAGAAACCCTGACGATTACAAATCCAGCTACAACAACATTAATCACACAAAACAGGAAAAAGTAGGATTTTTTTTCATTATTTATTTTCCGAAAACCAAAAACAACATTTTACGTAGAGACGGAGGCTCCACAGGCTGAAGGTATTTAATTAGTTTTTCTGCTCTGCAGTTCAACCAAAAACTCTCTGAATTTTTATCGCCTGTCTGTTGGTCTCAGCCGAGTCACTGACGGCTTCACGGTTGCATCGAGGAACGCAGAATTATTTGTTTTTAACAGAATCTGCTTCGAGGACACAGTTTATTTTTAAAACATTTTTATTGAGACAGAATTTTGTTGAAATGTCACGATTTGAAGCTCAGATTTGGTTCATTTTCCCAAAAGAACAAATGTCACTGATGAGTAGTTTAAGGACCGTCAGAAAGTTGAACATCTGATGATTCTTTCTGTTTTTATTTATAAATAAATAAATAAAAAATCCCCATGTTTAATTTAATTCCACACTTGTCTACTAAAGTGAACCTGCAGTTCAACCAAAAAGTCGCAGAATTTTTATCACCTGTCTGTTGGTCTCAGCCGAGTCACTGACGGCTTCACGGTTGCATCGAGGAAGTCAGAATTATTTGTTTTTAACAGAATCTGCTTCGAGGACACGGTTTATTTTTAAAAAAATTTTTTGAGACAGAATTTTATTGAAATGTCATGAGTTCAAGCTCAGACGAGTAGTTCAAGGACCGTCAGAAAGTGGACAATTCCTTCTGTTTTTACTGTTTCCAGCTCTCAAACGTGCCATTTTGTCGATTTAAGGGTTCGGTGGGTTCGGGTTCACATCTAAGGAGACGTTTTTCAATGTTTCGTGCAGACCAGAGACTCACAGACGGATTGATTCAAGCTGACGGACGTTTTACTATCAGATACCACCGTCTGTCAGCTGCACATTTAACCACAGAACAAACTGCACTCGTGAGTTTTTTTGTTGATCTGTCAGCGAGTGAATCTGCTCATCATGATGAAACTTGATGTGTTCATGCGTCTCTTCTGCAGACATAAATCTACGGCGGCGGCGGCGGCGGCGGCGGCGGCGCTCTATCCGGCCTCGTCTTCCCTCTGCAGTCGCTGATTTATCGCCTCGCTCCGTCGCCGTGTCACTTTTTACAGGCCGGATGAATCCCTCCGCGCCCAACCTGCTGCTGTCGGCTTTACATCTCGGCTGAACTTCACGTCTGACTGACATCTCCTTCATCACCTCGTGCGCTATGCGACACTGTAACCTTGGCGACCGCCGGCTTCGTATTTCCCGCAGTTTCCGTCACGCCGCGCTCCGTCTCTCCGCCGTGTTTTTCTTTCCTTTGACTCGTCCTTGGCGCCGTTTTTTTTTCTTTTTTCTTTTCTTTTCTCGTCAGCTGGCGGCGTCAGAAGTCGCGTCGCAGCTTCGCCGGCGGCTGCTGCCGCGCCGGTTAGTCAGAACAACTTCTTGGCAACCAAACAAGGGATTTTCTCAGCAACTTTCACACATGATGAATCATGTTTCGCTTCCTCCAGAGCTGCTGCAGCTTCTGTCTGCTGCAGGCTGATCGGCCACGTCTTTCATTCCTGCTGCTGCTGCTTCGTTATCAGCTTCATTGTCGGGATTTGATCCTGGTGATCGACGGAAGCAGAACAACGATGCAGTCAGAAGGAGGTTTGATCTCCTTGAAGTGACTACAGGTGATAAAACACATAAAGACCAGTTATATCACGACAGGCTGGAGTTTCTAATGACTCCTGATGGACTCATTCAAACATGAAGCCCTCTAACCACAAGAACACCAAACCTGCCATCAGGCACGGAGGTGGCAGCATCATAAAGTAGATGGACCAATGAAGAAGGAGGATCACCTCCACGTTCTCCAGGAGAACCTCAAACCATCAGCAGAAGGTTGATCTTGGACACAGCTGGATGTTTTTTTTAATAACTTAAGTTAGTTGGACAGCTTTCCAGTCATTCTGGATAAAGTTTGAGTTTTTTCAAACTATTTTCTGTCATTTTGGACAAATTT